TCTCTCTTCCACAACCTTGCATGGGAGCCTCGCTGGCTCTAAACCACACACTATGGAGCTTACCCCCCCCCCCATACACACACAGTGGGTACTGCTACAGAGGGGCATGCCGCGGCCCCTCACTCACTCAGATGCAGACCTAGTGACAGACACACTGTCTTATGCAAATGAACACCACATCACCTCCTCACAGACACACATGGACCACCCCCCCACACACACACAAACACTCTCTGAGCTCGGCCCACCCTCAGCAACAATCTGGAACAGGATGACAGGCACGAACGCATATGCGCGTGCACACACACACACACACACACACACCACGCACTTAGGAGCACTGTGCTAAGAAATTACGAAGTCATAGACACACTGGGTCACCATCCCACGAGGAGCTAGACACAAAGAACGACATCTTTGGCACAGACACATATATGTATAGATTTTACCAGCACACACACACACACACACACACACAGAAATAAACTCACACTAGAGCACACACACAGAGTGTGAGACAATCACACAGAGCTACAACCCCACAATACACTGACAATATCTCCCCACACATTTAGGGCCCTCCTCATACTGCTCTTCATGACATGCTGTGGGTGACCCCTCCTTGAGCCAGCTGCCCACAGAAGTGGCGCTACACAGCAGATGGAGTCCACTGACAAACATACTCTTGAAAGAGGGGCATACTGGACATCGCTTCACAGGCATGCAACACACACACACACACACACACACACACACACACACACACACTCACACACAGATGCAGCCCCCATAGCCCTTAAATAAAGGCCGGACCTAATCTTAAGGATTTCCCTTCACTAAGGAGTCCCGCTCCTCTCTAGAAGCTCCTGGGTCACTGCTTCCACCCTGTCCTGCCAGGTGCCCCTGTTACCCAGTCCTCATCCAGAGTTGGCTGCTAAGATGCTCCCAGAGGCTGAGGACAAGTAGAGGCAGGAGGCAGGTGCAGGTAGCGATGGCTCTAACTCCGTCTTCCTGTAAAGGAGTTGCATGCCTCCGACTCCCGCTAGGGGCAGAGCTGCTTGGCCAGGCTCAGAGGAGCTAGCTGGATTGCAACAGGTGCAGGACAGCGGGAGAGGATTAGACAGGGACCGGTCCTAGCAGGCTTCGGGCAGGCCAGTCAAGGCCACCCAGAGGGAAAGGGACTCACTGAAGTCTGCACAGCTAGTCATGCCAAGCATAGAATTGGAACAAAGTCCATGGAAGTGAAAACTGGGCTCTCTGAATCAGGGGTGGGGGCAGGGGGATGACTGAGTGAGGAGCCAGGGAATGAGATGCAAACTCTGTGGGATCCCAACATTCCAAGCTTGCAAAATAGCCTTTCTCCACACATATTCTGTACAACATGTGAACATTTGTGCTGTTATCAGCAATGGCATCCCATTGTGCACCTTTACAATGCTCTTTGGTTTTTCACAGCCTGCTCTAGGAGGAGCTGCACAGTTCGCAGGACCCAGTGCAACAGGGAACTTTGAGGTTCATGTTCAAAAATTATCAAGGGGCACTGGGGAGATGGCTCAGTGGAATAAGCGCTTCCCTGGCAAACACAAGGGCCTGAGTTCCATACCCGGTTCTGCTAAAAAAAAAAAAAAAATTATCAAGGATTTCACGAGATGAAGGCAGGGTATCATGCCAAGTGAAGGCCCTTCCTGAGCATAGATCCATAGTTCTGCTGCCCAAGAAGCCAGCCATCCCTGGCCCTCTGGTACTCACTGTCTTGCTTAAAGCTCACAATAAGCTGCCTTCATGCGCTCAAGGTGAAGCTTGTGGCTCCCAGAAGTGGCTCATTGCAGTGAGGAGATCCTGGGTGAGTGCAAATCCAGCTGGGAGTCTAGCACTTCTCTGTAGCTGCCAATTGGAAAAGAGGCAGCTCTGAGGAGAAACCACATGGGACAGAGGACGCAAGCTGGGGAGTCTCTGTGCTGCCAAGAAAGGAGAGGAGCATTGGGAAGGGCCCAGGGTCTCACTATACCTCTACTGCTGGCTTCTGCAGAGAAATAGGTAGACACAGCTGCTGGCTCCAGGCAGAGGTGGCAAGAAAGGACATCACGGACCCCTCAGAGCCATTGAGAAGGGCTTTGGAATGGAAGCCAAGAGCATCTCAGCACTGGCACAGAAGCCTCCTCCCTTGCATTGGGGACAAATAAGAGGGTGGAAGGAAGCCATGTGGGTGAGGTCTGATAACAGAGTCACTCCTAACCCACACCAACTCCTGCCCTGAGTCCTTGCTGCATGGCTGGGGCCATCGGCAGCCATTTATATATCCGTTTTGCTCATGTCCTAAAAGCATCTGTGGGAAGAGATCCTAAAGTCACAGAGGCTCTTGTGGTGGTCCCACCACGATGCTGACACATATTTAGCTCCTGCTGAGTAGTGCATCTCTCCCTGCTGCTCCTCACCTCTGGGACTAAGAATTGAATCAGATCAGTCTGATCTCACTTCTTCCCATCTTTCCAGTCTGACTCTCGATTCCATCTGCTACTCTCTCTGAGGACCTTTGGTGGATCCCCGCTGTATACACTGCCTCCTAGCTTCATGCCACCTTCTGGTTTTCCTTCCCTGCATCCCTCCTTCCCCCTGCTTTTCTCCCCTGCAGCTTTCACTCATCCTTTCACTTTGTCCCTGAGCAAGACAGCATTGTGTGTTAGAATTTTGCCATGAACCTGGTGAGTCTGATAGGAAGCAGCAGTCTCCTCAAGGCTTCTGCACTATGGAGACCTGAACCAGAAAACAGTCCTAAAGCCATGGCCGATGAGGGTGTCAGTAGAACAGCATTTGCCACAGATAAGCACATAACATACTTTAGTACATACTACATACAGGGTTTCCTTTACCCCAGGACTTTGCTAGAACCCAGAAATGCCTCACATGCCATGCTTGCCTGATCCACCAGGTTTGTAGTGTTTTCTCTTCCTCTAAATGCCACCTCCTGAGAGACATCTGCCCCAGTCCACCTAGAGCACTCAACCCACTTTCCAGTTTCCAGTCCTTCTAATACTCATCTTCCCATTGTCAGTTTATGTATTTACCAGTTTACTCTTTTCTTCTTCTTCTTCTTCTTCTTCTTCTTCTTCTTCTTCTTCTTCTTCTTCTTCTTCCTCCTCCTCCTCCTCCTCCTCCTCCTCCTCTTCCTTCTTATCATCATCATCATCATCATCATCATCATCATCATCATCATCATCCCCAGGGAGGACTCCTCAGCTAGAATTTGAGTATCTACCACAGCCAGGGAAATTTCTACATCATGCACAGATATGCTGTTTATTAGTACTAGCTTCATTCTTGGAACATAGGCATACTCACTATTACTTATTACATAAACAGCTGACTTTTAAGATGCAATATGCCTAGAGTGATATATTTTTAGTGAACTTGAGCTAGTTGCCAATGGGTACCATGTTTTGTCTCAAGAACTCAAGAGATTGCTCTGGTAACAAACTGATCCCTGCTTGTACATAGTCATTTAACCATGTTATAATTGTTCATCAGATTCACCAGGGAGACAGATGGGGGGGAGAGAGAGAGAGAGAGAGAGAGAGAGAGAGAGAGA